CCACTGAATCTGTTTCGAATATTGAATCTGTAAAGAAAATTTTATGTATAAAATGGTTGCTGTTTATATTTAATATTATGAAAGTATTATTGAAACCTACATCAAAATGAACTCCTTTTCCCTTGTTTCTCAAACACACACAGCAATCTGTAATTAAAATATACAGAATCCTTTTCGAATGCCTGGTTAAACCTCTACTCGTATAAGCTATCACTCTAGGTCTGTTGAATGCTATTACTGCATTCAGTGGTTCAATGACCGGTAATTCTCTACTGCTGGTTTACTATGAGCTGTAATTCTGTAATTCTGGTGCTGGAGGTGGTGTTGGAGCTGGAGATGTTATTGAAGCTAGATCCTGAAACAGAGTGACGGTCCCCTGTTCTGGGACTACCTGAGGTACAGTAGGTTTCAATTATGCCTTCTTAGTTTGAACGTGTCGCACTCATATGTTCCCATGGGAACATATGAGTGCGACACGTTTATACTAGGAAGGCATTTTTGAAACCTACTGTACCTTCCTCCCTACCACAAGTTATATTCCCACCACTGTCACTTATCCCACTAATATTTTTTCTACTGTTATACTGGCGTCCTCTACGTAAAATATTGAAGATATAATAAAGTATTCAGAAGATAAAGTAGAACTCTAATGGTAATATCTATAGTTTATAACGGGTGTCTTACTATTGTTGTTAATATTTGAGGAATTATTATTAATTTTATTACTCTAAATGAGGTTATTTTATTTTATTATTTTATTTTTATTTACTTCCGAATCAACAAACTAAATAAAAACACACGTTACTTTGTTGTTTAAATTATTTGCCCGAACGCCAGAGATATTTTATGGAAAAATATTCAAACCTAATATTTAAATTAATGTTATGCTAGCTCAATCTTTTCAAGGAGAGCGCGGGGTAAGAGAAATCACCAGTTAATGTTTAAATCTTGATATAATAATAATAAATTACAGGTCCAGACGGGACCTGTTCAAAAGTTACACAAATGATATGTCGTGAAACAAAGAAAATTGACAAATGTTAAATTTTTAATCGATTGTTCATCAGGAGACAACACTTTTAATTATTTAGAGACTCACCGGAGATACGCCGACGTCCCCTCATGGTCCCACGGCTCATCTCGACCAGGAAAAAAGCACAATTAACGTTATTTTTATTAATTTTTATGAGAAAACGGTCTACTGCGACCTGTCAATATACGACGCCAAAATGAGAATGAATTAAATGGCCGACGGGGACGCCGAAGTCGACGCGCATCTCCACTTCGTGGTGAGTCTCACGCGCACTTGTTACATAGATTTTCCGATGGTAATCGATGCGCGCCAGTCAGTATTTAGGTAAATTACCGACTGTCGAGATGAGTTCATAAAAGTTCGTTTAGTTTCCGCGAGGGGCACTGCGCGACGACGTCCGGTTAGCAAGATGGCTGCAGCTGATTAAAATTAAATATTTTTTTTATTACAGCTGATGTCCTCGGCGATGGACTTCCTCTTTCTGTCACTTCGTATGACCGGTATTTATTTCCAGTAATAAATACAAGTAAACAAATTACTTGTCGGACTAATACGAAGTAATCTCTCGGCAGTAATCCCGATGTTTGGTAATTCCGAAACTCGCAATGACATAATATGATAAATCGAGTATCAACTTCTATTGTTTAATTATCATTGTGTTGACCAGCGATCTGACTGTTCGCTATTTTACAGGTTTGATACAATGCATTTAACAAAAGTGGATTAATAAGAGAATATTTCTCGGAAGGAGAAAATAATGGTCGATTCTCAATTTGACGTGTATAAGAAAAAGGTTAAAAGTCAATTAATAACAAGAATTATTAATTTGTACGCGGCAAATAAAATGCCGCGCTACAAGTTATACCTTTGAAAGATAATATTTTAACCCTTTTTTTAACCTTTTTAACATATTTTTTAACACTTTTTAACCCTTTTTTAACATTTGCAACATATTTTTAACCCTTTTTACTTTTTTTCAATTATTTTTGTTATTTATTTATTAAAACACGTTTTATATATTTTTAAATTTTCATTCTTTATTTATTAACACATGCTTTACATACATTTTATTTATAAAACATAGGAAAACAGATAGTTATAAAAATTTTATATTTGAATTTTTTAAAATTCAAAATTCAAAATATAAATTTAGTTATATTTACATTTTTATTTGTTACAAAAGAAACTTTTTTTTTTAATCACACCTACTTTTCTTCATATTTACATATTTATTTTTACAAAAAATTTCTTTTTTTAATCCCATCTACTTTTTTTAACCTTACGTGGTATATACCACCTACTTTTTTTTAACTCTAGGTGTCATTTTTTAAGCTTCCGGATCATCTTTAGTGTGTCTTCTCTAAACCCTCAGGTCAATTGTTTTTAATTCGGATATTCTTTTCAAGCTATTTTTCCTGGGATCTTTATTATTTCTTTTCTAAACCTCCGGATCAATTGTTTTTAAGCTGCATATTCTTTTAAGGGTATTTTTCCTAGGATCCTTAAACATTTTAAAAACTACAACACCTCCAGGTTTGAATATAATCTTCTGTAAATAAACAATATTTGTAATATTAAAATAAAACATATATTAACTTTTTAAATTTGATTTCAAAATATTAAATAAAAATACATACCATTTTATAATATTAATTGATTCTTATTTTTTATTATAAAAATAATAGTCTTCACTATCTCTTTATTATGAAAATAATATTTTTCAATATATTTTACACTAGAACTACTATTTTCACTACGAGAATACTTTTAACGAAAAGAACAGTTTTCACGAAGAGAACAGTTTTCACAATGATAGGTAGACTCAAAGTATATCCGGAAAAATTTCCAAAAATTTACCCCCACCCCAACCACCCACCAACATATTTAAAGTTTGTAAAAAAAAATGTTGAAAGTTTCACCTATTTTTATGATAGGGTTCACAGGTAGCTGTAAAATTAAAAAGAACAGTTTTTAATGAAGATCACAGTTTTCACAATGATACGTAGACTTAAAGTATATCCGAAAGAATTTCCAAAAATTTACTTCCCCCAACATATTTAAAGATTGTAAAAAAATTAGAAAGTTTCAACTATTTTTATGATAGGGTTCACAGGTAGCTGCAAAATTCATAAGTATCTTTAAATCTGTCTGAAGGTTTCTTAGACAATGTCTTTATTCTATTCAAGATGCAGGTTGAAACATCTATTTTTATGATAGGGTTCACAGGTAGCTGCAAAATTCATAAGTATCTTTAAATCTGTCTGAAGGTTTCTTAGACAATGTCTTTATTCTATTCAAGATGCAGGTTGAAACATCTATTTTTATGATAGGGTTCACAGGTAGCTGCAAAATGTTTGTTCCTGTAGCTTCAAATTTTGCATTTTCAAGGTGCGACGCCACTTGAACTTACCTGTAGGAAAATTAGCTTGTCAGAATATAATAAATGAGGTATCATTGGAAAGGTTATTAAATTACCTTTCGATCCATAGGTCACAGAATAAAATTCAACAAAAATTGAGAGAGTTACAGTCGATTAAAGATGAAATTTCATGACAATTTTGATGATTTTTAGACATTTGAGTAACTTCTACTATTTTTTTCTACATCAAACAGGAAAGAATGTTTAGGTTTTAATTTTTTTATTGATAGACTATATCATTACACAAATTTTGAGCCCTTGTGGACCTCGATTGGATTAAAAATGACAATTCTACACTAAATTTAGTGAACGAAACTACATTCTTCATTTTTAGTATCCCTTAAACATTTGCAGCAAAAATTAAAGTAATAAAATCTAGTTAAGCTCTAAAGTTACTAAAATCACTAATAAAGGATTTCTGAAATCGTAGATTTCGAATCCAATGTTAGTTTTCTAAATTTCAAAATAGCGGATCCAATATGGCGGACAAGTTTTTAAAAATCGATTAAATTCGTCTTAAATTCGTTACTCGGGGGTTTTCGGGGTCGCTGATTACGAATCTGATGTCAGATTTCAAAAATTAAAAATGGCGGATCCAATAGGTGCGAATTCGATGGAACCTGTGTAATTTAAATATATACAAATCAGGTACCCTACCAACGCTCAGTATCTTTGCAATATATTTAAATCTATGCAAATTAAAAGGGTTAACTAATTTGAATATATGCAAATCAAGTACTCCACTAACGCTAATTAAAAGGGTTAACTAATTTAAATATATGCAAATCAAGTACTCCACTAACGTCAATTAAAAGGGTTAACTAATTTAAATATATGCAAACTAGATACCCCACTAACGTCAATTAAAAGGGTTAACTAATTTAAATATATGCAAATCAGGTACCCAACCAACGGCCGGTAAATTACCCACATATACCCCACCAGCGGTCAGTAAATTACCCACATATACCTCACCAACGGTCGGTAAGTAGGAATCTACATTACTGATTTTATCCAGAACCGGCCTAGCTATACTACTTTAATGCCTCATTAAAAATATTTTGTAATATAAATAATTAAAGTAAATTTAATGAAAAATAAATTACTCAAATGTAAATAAATTTAAATTTTATATTAAAAGAAATTGATTGAAAAGGGTCAGCATTTCCCTAACAAAAAAATAAAAACTGTATTATATTTCTTAAACGTCTCCGAGAAGTAAACCGTTGAAAAAAAAATTGAGCCTCAATTAGAAAGAAAGTTATTTAATAAAAACTGCAGCTGTGTAGTGTTTTACATGACATTATAAACATGGGCCGCGCACAGTGGGATTTTTTACAGTTTACTGTTTAAAATTGTCTAGAGCCTTCAAATATTATTAGATTTTGATGTTCTTAGTCTTAATCTAAAGGAGACAAAATTTCTAAGAAATCCCTCAAAACCGATTTTTGATTTACTAATTGTTTAAATTTTTTTGTTACTCCATGTTAACAATTAACAGTATTATTAATAACAAACTTAATTATTAACTTTAAAATAATTTTTTACCATAAGACTGAATCCTTTTCAAATCAGGCAAGTCGACTAACATTAACAATAAGTTATAGATTTACCTGTCGTTAAAATATATTATTCTACATAAAAAATAAGAGTCACGTATTTTTTATTTTTCAAAAACGATTAATTTAACGAAGTTATGCACATTTGAACTTTGAGTGGTAAAACTCGAATGAACAGTGAAAAAAATTGTTTTGCTTATCATTCTTTTTCTTTTGAGTATAATTTAGTTTTCTTTCTTGGGTCTTGTAAATGGTCTTGTCCTTTTCCAAATTCCGTTTGAAATTTGTAAAAATATTAAAAATTATCAAAATAGGGGATGATTTTCTGAAAATAAATAAGATCATTTTTCTCAAAAACACCACATTTTTTTATTATCAAATTTTTACCACAAATTTTTAAAACAATAATGAACAATTCCTATGAATTTCATGCGGGCTAAACCATTCTGGCATTCAGAAGAATTTTTTTTTTAAATATTTATTTTCACAAATTTTTAAATTGTTGACGTGCATTTTTAAGAACAAATTAATTGTTATAACATTTTATTTATTCTCGAGAGTTTACGTCAATAATGTTATAATTTATTTATTTATTTACTAGCAAATGAATTTTTATATAATTTAACAGGAAAATCGTTAATTATAATTAATAATAAACACGAATATTTTAAAAACTTAAAAGAAATTCTTCTTAAAATTAAATCATTTTTAATATTTTCAGTAAAAGTTATTAAGAAAAGCTTCATTACTTCCAATAAAATTTAAAATAAATTCTTCAAAACTATTCAATTATTTTAAAAAATTTTAATAAAAATCTTGTCACTGGTGCCACTACCCTACTGAAAATCATTGAATTCTTATGTGAAGTATTTATCAAAAAATTTAAAAATTATTTAATTTTATGAAGAATTGAATTATTTTCAATAATTGTAATAAAATTCTTTAGTCACTTTATAAATAAATAATACAAATTTTCGTACAAAATTAAATTATTTTTATATATTTAAATAATAAATTCTTATAAGGATTTCATTTATTTTCAATAAAATTTTAATTGATTTCTTTGACATTTTAATAATTTTTAGTGTGAAAATTCTCCGAGAAAATTCAATTATTTTTAAAAAGAATTGAATTTTTCACTGGAGTTTAATTATTCATAAAACTTTTAATAAATTCCAATTTAAGAATTTAATTTTTTAAAAAAGTAGGGGAGTGTAAGATATGGTGGCGGACACTTTGTTTTTTGCGTCTCTTTCTCTCAAGAAACAATATTTTTCAAAATTTCAAAAGCAGGCAGTTGCTGACATCTATTAAGCATATTTATATCAGAAGCGGTTGTTAAAATTTAAATGCAGTGAAATTTTACAGCTCTTGGCGCAAAACAGTGATTTTTTTTATTTTTGAAAGTTGTAAGGTATGGTGGCCGATTTGGTGTATTCAATTTAAATATTATAGAGATGTTAAAATCATTTTGTAAAACTACTGGAAATGATGAAAAATAACAAAAAGAGAAAAAACTGATGATTTTACATTATAGAAAAAAGGGTTTCACTTCAGTTATGGTTACAATTTGGACATGCGAAGTAGCTGGTGACTGTTTTAACGCAACTAGAATAGAAGAAGACCGCAAGTGTCACATATTTGAGAATTGTTGCGGTGGAGTTCAAGAGGCATTAGTACACAAAAAATGCAAAGACAATTGAAACTCGTGCAAAAAAATGATCCGCCACTGTACGTTACAAAAATTACGCCATCATACCTTACAAGCTATTCATGGAACTATGATGGTGTTACTTTCATACTTCGCGAATTCAGAAAAATGTAAAATACAAAAAACTGTTGTCCAAGGTCTAAACAATACGTTCCATATATTATTTATTTACCTGACTTAATTCTTAAAAAATCTTCACTCTGGCACTGTTAACGCACATATCCAATAAAACTTTATAGTTTTTTTTCACTAATTTTTTATTTAAAATCGCTTAGAGTACGAAGCACGCAATTGCTCATTAATACTACTGCATATAAAATGTCATCATGATAAAAGACATCGACCATAGTGATAAGGCGTTTCAGATGTGACGTTACGTGCCAGATTTGACAAGTCCGCCCCATACCTTACACGCCACGATACCTTACATTCCCCTAATGAAATTTTAACAGGAATTTAATTATTTTAAATACAATTTTTATTTATTCTTTTCAAAAATTCACTAATTTTTTTAAATTTTGCAAAAAATCAATTATTTGTAGAAATAATAAATGCTTTTGCAGGAATTCAATTATTTAAAAAAGTTTTAATGTTATTTAAGAATTTAATTATTTTCAGAAATAATTCTTGTAAAGTATTTATAAAAAAAATTGAAAATAATGGAATTCATTTTAAAAATTTTATCAACATTTTTTCAATAATTGAATTCTTTCGAGAAAATGTAATATTTCCAAAAAAATTCTCCTGAATGCCAGAATGGTTTAGCCTGCTGGAAATTCATAGGAATTGTTCATCATTATTTTAAGAATTTGTGATAAAAATTTGATAATAAAAAATGGTGGTGCTTAAGAGAAAATTAATATTATTTATTTTCAGAAAATCATCCCCTATTTTGATAATTTTTTATATTTTTACAAATTTCAAACGGAATTTGAAAAAGGACAAAACCATTTAGAAGACCCAAGAAAGAAAATTAAATTATACTCAAAAGAAAAAGAATGACAAGCAAAAACATTTTTTTCACTGTTCATTCGAGTTTTACCACTCAAAGTTCAAATGTGCATAACTTCGTTAAATTAAGCTTTTTTGAAAAATAAAAAAATTAGTTACTCTTATCTTTCATGTAGAATAATATATTTTAACGACAGATAAATCTATTACTTGAAGTTAGACGACTTGCCTGATTTGAAATGGATTCAGTCCAAAATGAACATAAATTACTTAAATAAACATAAATTTTTCGGCAAAAATCAATTTTTTATAAAGAAGAATAAAAGTTATCTATTTGTTAATTATCATAGTTTGTATGATTTTTTCCAAAAATATTGTTAATTAACTTTTAACAAAAAAATACAAACAAACAGAAATTCAAAAATCGCTTTCGAGGGATTTCCTAGGAATTTTATCCCATTCAGTTTAAGACCAAGAACATCAAAATCAAATAAAATTTGTAGGCTCTAGACAATTTAAATCTTTACATTTGTGTAAAATATAATAGTAACATTAAACTTAAGGTATTTGTCGCGTAAATTCGTTTTCGTCAGTTTTTTTTAAATTTCACATAATTATTCTTTTGATATTTATCTACAAAATAAGGCCTATTAAAATAAAATTGACCGTCTGTAAGTCTCAAAAAATGAAATCAAAGTTTCGATTTTTAACATGTACGGTATAGGAAAACCATATGAAAACCACATATTTTTAATTTTTGCACTTATACTAATCGTCAGATTTTTTAGAAAAACTAAAGTTTTATTTATTGAACCAAAATGAACTTTTATAAAAAAAATGAAAATTTTTCACCGTCTCGTTTAAAAGATATTTAACATCAAACTTGAAAAACTATTTTAACATTTATTGTAAGTGACAGGTGAATTCGTAAACGTGGCAATAGCGCTTGTTAAATACTACAGCTTGTCTGCTACTTTTGGCGCGAAATTTTAAAGACGGCCATACGCCAAACTTGCGACGTTGCCACGATCGTTTTTCATGCGAGAGGTTATGAATATACTTTGAGAACATCTGTGTGTCAAACTGTACGTCCGCAAAAGTTTTTTGGAAACTCGCATTCATAATCGTTTCATAAGTACAGTCAACGGATACCAACTTTTGAGAGTGACCAGTCGCGCGACAAATACCTTAATAATAATAATACTAATCATAACTAATTCTTTGTTATAATATTAATACTAATTGAAACTGTTCTTTGTTATTATCGAGTTTTTTCTGTCTTTGAAGCCTCATAATTGAAGATTTATTATGTTTAAGGGGCAAATTTTCTCGAGTGTACCAAAGTCAAAATTGCAAGTTGTTGGATCGGGCTAATATTTTCACAGTATTTAGTAATATGTATGACTAATAAACCACCAAGTAATATAAGATTTTATATAAAATTGTAGAGAGGCAAAGGGGGTTGAAGATTTTGGATAAGTATGAACATTAATTTTTCTAAAAAATTGTAGCTTCTAAACAATAAAGTAAAAAAAAAATTTACCTATATGTTTTTGGTATAAAATTTTTTTTGATTTTTTAGGAAGGACCCTCTTTTCTTTTTTTTGTACCAAAAGAAAGCTTAAGATGTGTACTTTCAATATCTAAAACGAAAAAAATGACCCTTTTTTCGAATTATTAATTAATTAATTAATTAATAAAAATTGAAATATTTTACAACAAAATAAAGTTAACGCAATTCTGCAGTTACTACTGTTAAACATTACAAAATCCGAATCCAACAAGTCCAATATGAAGTATTTTGGATAAATTGACGTTTTATAAATAATTATTAATAAAAATTAATTAACAAATGAATATCATTTATAAAAATAAAGATAAAGTGTTAGTTTTTTTTAAACAATTGTTTATACAATTCTATTTTTAAAAAAGTGTATTCCAGTTATTTACATCGATTGTTTAAATCCGATGAAGTTTTAAAAAAAGTATCCGCCATATTGAATTCGTTTAAATTTTTATAATTTTTAACCTGAATAATGTATATGCTCCGAAATTTTTATTTTTTGAAAACTACTACCATATTCGTAATTAGAGACCCCAAGAACCCCTCCTAATCAGTTTCAAGTGAATCCGATGAAGTTTTAGAAAAAGTATCCGCCATATTGAATTCGCCATTTTGTATTTTTGAAAACTACTATCATATTCGTAATTAGAGACCCCAAGAACCCCCGAGTAACCAGTTTTAAGCGAATCCGATGAAGTTTCGAAAAAGTGTCCGCCATATGGGATTCGCAATTTTGAATTTTTAAAAACTATTATCATATTCGTAATCAGCGACCCCAAAAACCCCCCAA